AATCAGAAGGGTATTTTCCAATTCATAAAATGTGGAGATAAAGCCCTTAGCCCTTCCTTTAGCCACAAGGAAGATCTGATTTATTGATAAAGCCAATGGGTATTTACTGATGATTTTTTTAAAGTCTAATAAGTATTTATTTTTGAATTTTAAAGAAAATCTTATTCTTATAATAGTCTTATATAAAGTTAAGATTTTTTTTTTATTTCAAGATAAATAAATTTTTTTCTTTCTAACCCTATTTTTATTTTTAAGTTTAATTCTTCATCATATTTTTAAGTATATCCTATAATATAAATTATAGAACTACCTTTCATTGAATTAGGGAATGGTTAGTCTTGAAATGTGTGCAAACCAACCCAAATACACCTTGCCTATTAAACCCAAGAAAAAAACTTAAAAGATGATAAATATGAGTTTGTTAGAGGTTAGATGATCAACTATACGTAAAATTAACCCCAAAAAAAAAATGAAAGAGATAAAACTAATTAAATGGTGCTAATAAAGAAATCAAGATACGGTACACAAGACAAAATGAAGTAGAGAAAGTGCATTCCACTGAGATAACTAATCAAGCAATTAGTTTGCATAACAAAAGGAAATTTACTCCGTCAATCATTATCCAAAGACACAAAATATTCAAAATTTCCCAATTATGCTACTATCAAATACTAAATGATGATGTAAATACAAATAAATTCTAGTAATATAAAAAATGTCATTAATTATTTTTTGACAATAAAATAAATATGAAATCTAACAAAAATAATATATATTAAATATTAATTTTTTCCAAAATCTTAGGGGAGGCCATATATGGTCCTAATGAAGCTCACTCATTGTTTCAAGGGTTGTCTCGGGGAACAACGAAACTCACCCACCCAACCATTCTCTTTGTTGGTTGTGATTTTTCCGATCCTGAACTTGTAGATTTATCTTTGTTCATCTGTTACTGTAAAAAGGTTAACACAAAATACTGAAAAAGAATAATTAAGTGCAAAAAATATTTAAAGAGAAAATTGAAGGGTATATATATTGCTGAAGATTTTTTTTCCTGCTAAAGTGTAGGTATTGTCTAATATGGCATTTATCAAAATTCATTCAATTAATCTAATTGACAATTTTGGTCAATCAAGATTCAAAAACACTTTGGTACTAAAGAGAATTAAATCATAAAATGATTGATCTTATTATAAAAAGATCAAAGAAAAGGATCAAATCATGTAATGATTGATCCAATTGTAGAAGGAAGGAATATCATGACATTAGGGAGTTGATCAACAAGGAGAAATCAATTTACCAATTAATTGATTTCAAGGATTTAGTATTGATTGTAATTTCATTAGTGGAAGATTTCCAATTAATTGTTATTTTCTTATATTATGTATCCTCTCATCCTATAAATAGGGTTGCTCATATGTAAGAAATAATGAAGAAAAATAAATTGTGTAAAGCCCATAAAATCTTTTGTATTGTGGACTAAGGAGGCTTTGATGCATTATGATATTCTACACTATCATGTAATATCATGTCTTCCTCTCTATCACTTATTCTTTATTTTATTCATCTTAGTACTATTTTATCATAAGATTTCTATTAGTAGAGATTTTCTCATTATATTAGAAACTTCTTTATGGTATTAGGGCAAGTCGACCTGAGACTTCTTGAGTAAGGTTTATTTTTTTTCTTTTTTTTTTCATCTCTTTTTTCCCACCCTTTTTATCCTCCAATCTTTTTTGAAAAGAAAAAAAGAGAGACAAATAAAAAAAAAAGAATCTTCTTTTATTTGTTTACAAAACCCTACAAATAGAAGAGACCATTTGGCCATCTTCTTCTTCAAAAGAAAAGAAAAGAAAAACAAAACAAAACAAAGCAAAACAAAAGAGATCCATAGGAAAAAAAAAATTATGCTTTCTTACAAGGAGAAAAGAGACCAAAGGAGACTATTGGGCCATCTTCTGGAGTTCTCTCTACAAGCAAAAAAACCTATTGTAGATTTTGGAGAATGAGCAACACCAACCTTGAAGGTGATTTACAAGTTGGATACTCATTTAACATCTCTGTCCTACGACTTGAGAGCGAGTAAAAAGGATCAAATCATAAAATGATTGATTTTATTATAAAACGGACACTTGATTAATATCTCCGTGCTCTGACTTGAAGTGAGTAAAGAGGATCAAATCATATAATGATTGATCCAATTGTAGAAGAAAGGAATATCATCATGCCATTAGAAATATTGATAACTAAGCAGAAATCAATTTACCAGTTAATTGATTTCAAGAATTTGATATTGATTGTAATCTTATTAATAGAAGATTTCTAATTAATTGTTATTTCTTTTATATTATGGATCCACTCAGTTTATAAATAAAGCTGCCATATGTAAGAAACTAATGAAAAGAAATAAATGTTCAAAGCCCACATAGGCTTTTGTACCATGAACTAGACCTTGATGCATCATGACGTCCAAGAGCTATGTAATACTGTTTCTTCCTCTCTCTATCA